TTTATGAAGCAAACATGTGAAAGTGGGGTATTTTCTTTTTACTTGTCCATTTTGACAGAGATCAGACTACATAATGCTCAAGTAGGAAAACTTCAGAAACTGTAGCTCAGGAGAGCCAATTATGGGGAAAATCATCTGCCATAAATACCGTTTCACTTAACCACTTAAACTGACTGTAAAGCCAGCATAATTTTTAGAATAAAAGATTCATTATAAAGCAGTTGATGTACTTATTACAAATATTTTAAAACACATGGAGCATTGAACATTACCTCTCAATTTAGTTTGGATGATAAAACCCACAAACCTATATTAATAATTCTTAGAAAGCCAACTTCCTCTTTCCCAGATAGCTGGAAAAGATTAATACATTCATTACTTTCAACTACCACCTGATATGAAAAATTATAATACATAGAACCTGTTTGGAACATCAGTTAATATACAATTACATTTCATATTTTCCACAAAAAGATCACTCTTTAATAGTTCAAGTAAATCTTTTAGTTCTTATTGATCTATACATTTTTTAAAAAGAGTATTTTAGCTTTTCATAACCCAATCATGTTTTTCTGCAAAGAAAAAAATATACCCAGTGATCATGTACATAAATTATGTAAACTTGCCAATTTAACCCATATCATACTTACTAAAAATAATTGCCATTGCCCATTTGAAAGGTGCATTTCCATAATTTTCCCCTCAATTTTATTTTTTAAAAGTCACAATATCATACAATATACTAATTTTAAGAACCTGCCCCCTTTTTTATTCAATATTGAGGAAATAGAATCCTTTATTTGAGTTAAGGAGACATGAAAATGTGCCACAGCAATATTTGGACTTAACCTGTAACTGGTACTTTTGCTGGAAGTATAAATGTTGACATTTTACTAAACAATAAGAAAACCTCAAGTGGAATCTTGCAGATACTACTGTATATCTATGTTCCAGATGTAAGAATAATTTAATATCTATTTCTCCCAGGGCTAGAAAGCAGTCCTTCATGTTAAAGTAGCCTCATTCCTTAACAGGTACTTTAAAAATTATATTTGGCTGACACATTTTCTTTGGTAAATTTTGTAACCAATGAAGACATAAAGAATTTCATCTCATATAATTAACACTAAGCTGTGGACACTCAAATACAACAAACCAGATTGATATTAATTATGAAGTTGGGGATGGACTACCCAATTAAGTTCATTTCGCTTTGAAAATAAAAATTTTTTAAAAAATGATTTACTGCCCTGGCCGGTTTGGCTCGGTGGATAGGGCGTCAGCCTGCGGACCAAAGGGTCCCAGGTTTGATTCCGGTCAAGGGCACATGCCTGGGTTGTGGGCTTGGTACAACCTGCAGGAGACAGCCAATCAATGATTCCCTCTCATCATCGATGTTTTTCTCTCTCTCTCTTCCTCTCCCTTCCTCTCTGAAATCAATAAAAATATATTTAAAAAAATGATTTACTTAACTTACTTCCAGATACACAATTATTTTTTAAAAGATTCATTTATACTTTAAGCCACACCTAATTCTAATTATTTGGGTAAAATCTATATTAAACATAATAGCATAATAGCAGACATCTGAATGTGCCTTAATTTGTAATTATTTTCTCAAAACTCCAAAAGGAAAACATAGAGCTTACATTTCTGTACTGTGCTGCCAGGTTATTTCACATCATTCCTAGCTTTATGCTAACATCTGTCCTGAACTGTCTGCTCTTGTATAAATTTGTCATGTGACTAATGGCTAAGACTACACAAATACTGGAGATTAAAGTTAGCAAAATTTTGTGGTTTTGTGGTCAGATTTAGAAGAAATGTGCCTATAAGGCAGGGTAAGTTTTGGTGATGATGACTCTTCTAATTTTCATGGCTTAGGATCACCACACAAATTTCTGGCACCATCAAAAATCTAGTATAACTTAAATACACATTGGATGATTCTATGAATATGTTTTTCTAAGTATGTTCAGTGCCAATATGATATACCCATTAGGTATATAACACAGGTAATACTAAAATGTATGTCTTACATTAATAAACATGAACACATTGGCAATGGAAAAGTGTATCAATCTAGTAACTCATGATTTTACTTGCACTGTTAACAATTTTACACTGCATCTCATCTTCTTATAATCTGGCAAATATGCTAATATTTAGAGTTTCAGTTATTAATAATATCTAGTTTTTCAAACAACTTATTTCTGAAAAAGCACTTTAGAAAAAATTAAAGTATTACAAATAAGGGTCGCAACCAACTTGGTGGTTTAAAACATGACAATAATCATTCAACTTGAAAGATAAAAAGTATCATGTTCAGACTATTTAACATAGCCATAGTATAGAAAAGCTGATCTAAAATTCGTATAGGTTTTCCAACCATTGGCATGACCTATTCAACATTTTTAAACTGAAAAATAAATACTTAAGTGAAATACTGATTAAAAAAACAACATAATGCCCTAACCGGTTTTGCTCAGTGGATAGAGCGTCGATTCCGGTCAAGGGTATGTACCTTGGTTGCAGGCACATCCCCAGTACTGGGTGTGCAGGAGGCAGCTGATCGATGTTCCTAACTGTCTCTCTCCCTTCCTCTCTGTAAAAAATCAATAAAATATATTAAAAAAACAAAACAACATAAAACAAAATTTACTTTGCAATCCAAAATCAGAAACACAAAAAGAAAAAGAAAAAATCAGAAACAGAGGGATCTCCTTGCCAGTGTTTGTACAAATAGTGTGCTATCATCTAAAGACACATACTAATTTTTTTTTTAATTTACAAATGAACATGCAGAGAATTAAATGAGACAACTGATTGTCAACAATTAAAGTACTCAAAAATGGACCCATAACACACCTCAAAAAGTGAGGTAGGAAAAACACCCCATTTCATTAAAATATTCACAAATATAGTGCAAACTAACCAATCTGAAAAAAGTTATTTTCAGTATTCCAGTGTCTAATAAGTAATTATAATTAATTTAAAGCTACTAAGTGGAATGTTAGAATATAGGTTGAAAATATTGAGCTTATATAGCTGAGACTACCACATTTAAAACATTTTACATTGTATATACACTTTGAATAACATAAGTCACCATTCCATTATGAATACAAATCTTTTTTAGTCACATAAGGAAATGTTGCTTTTATCTATCAGCTCTAAGCACAAAGGAAGGTTCAATCTCTTTTGACATTAGAAATTAATGGGATTAAATTTAATCTTTACTTTGCAATCCTCCATTGTGCAATACAATTAACCTGCTACCTAGGTGACTGTGAGCTGGCTGATTCAAAAATTACTTTAAAATAGCTAGAAACACTGATCGAAGCCTTTTCATTGGGTTTATTTTTGCATTTAAATAAATCCCCAGCAATATAGTCAACTATAAAATGGCAGCATTTACTGTTATGTGGCAGAAAATAGTAAGGCATAAATTAGAATAAGAAAAATGTATCTATCTTTATACCTGTGGTATAGATACCTACATTTCCAACACTTCCCCATCTATATTTATTACTCTGTATTTTTCTGGATTTAATACTTTTCTTAATGTGCTGTATTCACCAACTACTAGTCCAAAACTGTACAGAAACTACAGAAATAGAGTGTTACATAACACATTTACCATAGTACGAGTAAAGGGTGGCAGTAGGGCATTTTGATGGGAGACAGGAGTTTTATTCTGGCTCTGCTTCTTAGTTATGTGACCTTGATCATGTCACAACCTTTTTGAGCCTCAGTTTCCTGAGGATGGATGGGGGAGGGGAGTGTTAGGAGACTCGCAAGATTATCTCTAGGGTGTCTGCTAATATAAAATTCTATAATGAATAGGCACAGAAGAGTAATTAGGAGGGTAGGGGTCAGGATTTCAAATTACAACCAACCCCCAGCCAGCTTCTAAAAAGTTTATTTAAAAATCTTACTTCTGGCCCTGGCTGGTTTGGCTCAGTGGATAAGAGTGTCAACCTGCAGACTGAAGGGTCCCAGGTTCGATTCCAGTCAAGGGCACATGCCAGGATTGTGGGCTTGATCCCCGCGAGTGGGAGTGGGAGGGGGAGGCGGCGTGCAGGAGGCAGCCAATCAATGATTCTCTCTCATCATTGATGTTTCTCTCTCTCCCTCTCTCTGCTTCTCTGAAATCAATAAAAATATATTTTAAAAATATCTTACTTCTGAGTTAGCTTTTCACTTTTCATTTTAGTTTGCTTTCTAGGAACATGATTTTAATTACTGCCATAGAGAAGAGTTCCGCAATCCTTCAGAGTTTTCTTAATCCAGCCTGGCATAGATGGCATCAAATTGTTTTATTATAGAAAACAAGTATTTTCTCCCGAACTAGCTGTTCCAAAGATAAAAGGACTTTCCCTTTTAAATGAACATTAGGAAGTATAAAATAAAAGGATGTTAAAGGATATTGCTGGCATATATTTTAACAACTATTGTACATCTGAGACATATTTTTAATTAAATCCAAAAAATAATGTAGATGAATATAAAAAATCTCTTACAAAATCTGACTTATGGTTTGTTAAACTAACTCATTCCATTTAAACTATACTTTGCACAGGACATAAATCCTGAATGCAAAGTTTGAACTAAATAAAATGTGGTGGTTTTTTTTTCATTAGGGCCAAATCACATCACTTAAAAGAATGAAACCTAAATGTTATGGTTTATGCAACATTAATGGGTTATGTATACATACAAAATATATATGTAGACATACACATAAATGAAATCCTCTAAGTTGACAGTTTTCAAAACCAAGTTTTCAGGTATAAGATTTCTAACAAACCAAAGGGAGATCTTATAATATTTGTTAGAGTTTTGCTGTAATTTGATATTATTTGTTTTTTGTGTGTGCTTTAACTAAAATCATACTAGAGTTAGATGCCAATAAATGTATAATTTGTTGAATTAAAAACAGCCTCCTAAGTCAACTGGGTATTTCTGCCATAAAAGTAAATGACCTCCAGCCATGGCTAAGATCTCTCGCCCTGGTTAAGTATAATGCTCTTTTCCTTTTATACCTAAACTTTGCTTTCCTTACTATGTTACAAATCTTTACACTTAATTTATTTTGGCTAATTTTTAATTCATTTATCTGATATCTCTTAGTTAAATTAGAAGTAAGGGATACCTAAAATATGTCTTTGTAATATATACATATACACACCATATATATACACATACGTACACACACATACAAATCAATAAATCTCTATCAACTTTTAGCTTTATCCTAGACTTTGGCAATTTCGTAGATACTAGTTCAGGTTCTAGTTTTCCATTTTAATATGAGATGAAAAATGTTACAGACCACCAAATTCAAACAAGCATCTAATTGCTTTATAAAGATTATAACAGAAAATCCATTTAAGAACAAACAAAACAAAAAAAAAAACCTCTTACAATTAAAAAAAAGGAGGGGGGAGAATTATAGGTATGAAAAGAATAAGAGGCATTTTTCCAGTTATTTTATTTATCAAAATCTATTATAGTTTTAATTGGTAGAGGTAAATTTTAAACTTTGTTAATTATGAGAATACTTGCTTTCTATAAATTCAGTATATTTTTCTTTCACAAAAATAAAATAAAATGTCTAAATATACAAAGCACTAATAGTTCTGATGTATTCTGTGGAAGAATAACACATAGCAGTTCAAGTCACAATATACTGATTTTCAAAAACCAACATATTCTCTTCTATTTAATCAAGCATTAGAGCCTAAAACCCAGAAGAGGTCATAATGAAATTTTAACCAACCAAATCAGATTTTTTTTTAAACCAGTAATGCATTTTTGTAGCATAGTTACCAAATGCTACTTTACATACATTCAACATTTAGCTTACTGGCATGATTTCAAAGTTTTATAAAAATGAGAAACTTTCGCAGCTATATGATTAGAAGGTACACAAATTGCATTACATCAAACACAAAGGCAGTGTGGTCCTTGTAGGAGAAATCAAGACAGTACCCCCTTGTAGAAATGTTCTATAAAAATGTGTCACATTGAAGTGTCAGTGTTTTCAGCCAATTATCTGTCCCTGATGTATTTCCTTGGAGTATATATCAGGACTTCAGGTTTCTTAATCCAAAACATCTGACTGAATTTAGGTACATCTAGAAAGCAGCTGAAAGGGTTTCTCCAATAGTCTGACATCACAGAAAGTACTTGAGAAATCCCTCTCTTTACCTGAAGACGTACTTGTTCTACTTCAGTCATAAGCTCACAAAGAAAGAAAACCAATCAAAACTTCCCCTCACACATACAATCCCACATAAGCTAAACAAAGACCACCCCTCCCTCCACAAAACCCCAGCACCAAAGTGTCAGTCATTCCTGGGAAAAAGAACATGCCCCTTGGATTCTCTGATTTGTTAGTTGTTCTAACTTTAAGGACAGAAATAACCTTATGTCCTTGTGGGGAGGAGGGAAGACATGTTAATAATGACTATAAGCCATTGAGAAAGTGCATTATCAATTATTACACAATCAACTGCCCTCTAGTGGAGGTGGCCACACTTGATTCAAATGCCTCGGTAACTAAACATTCATATCCTCGAGATAAAGGAGATGGGAGAAAAAGAGACACTCATTTTAATAAAAAAGTGCAGAGTCTACCACCTTTCCCCATGCTTCTCAAGAAAATGATTGCACAGACTCAGAGAAGTCCAAAGTCATAGCAGAATCTCTGAGGCACTCCTGGTTGAGAGAAAAAAAATATGACCCAGTATTCATAGTTTATAGATCATGAGAACAAACCCGTTTTTTTGTGTGTGTTTTTAAAAGAAAGCCAAAGAATCATTTCATAGGGATCATATACACCATTTCCTCTAACATATCCTCAGTCTCACAGTGTTGAAATGGGACCGATCAGCCTACGACGGATTGCACATCACCCAAGGAGAAAGGAAGGCATGGAAAATGCAAATATTTTATACTGCTTCACAAACACATTCACAAGGAATAGGTGAAGAGAAGGTATAGGAAGGAGGAGAAAGAAAACATTATTGCTGTTTCCATACAAAATACAGTATGAACATACCTAAACTAAATCAACTCTGATTACCATGACCAATATTTTCACAATGTGGGATGAAGTTTCTTCTTCACAATGAAATGAAAGATGAGAGAGGATGTCAAAACTACACCTGGGATATTAGCTGCATATTGAAACTTGGGGATCGAGACTGCTTGGTTAAGGGGGCGCCTGGGCTGAGGAGCTCTTTACCTTCTCCAGCTTGACCTAGCCGGTCTTCCTGTAGACTGATAGTTGAGTATCGATTAGCATTACTAGTTGCTAAATTAGTAACTCCCTCAGTACCAACCCCAAAGCTGGTACCTGCTTGACTGCCATTTACATAGTCAAATGATTTACTTGAGGAAGCACTGGCTGTCCGGATTAGACTTAAACTATTGGTTTTTGGCACCACCTGGCCAGCAGGCAGACTCAGGTGTTTCTTCATCGGTGTCAGCTCAATTGAATCTAGACTAAGATCAGTAGGTTGCTGTACATACTGCCTGCGAACTACTGAATCTCGAGGGCTTTCACTGGATTTGATGGGAGACGCTGTTTCTTTTTCCTTGACTGAACGCCCAGTTGCTACTTTCCTTAAGCTTCCCCTCTGAGAAGAGGAGGATGGTTTGGTCCCAATTGGCTGATTGCTGAGGGAAGCCCCTGATGAAAATCCTTCATCTGCATCATTTAGGTTTACCGACTCCTCTTCTCCATTTACTCCCTCAGCACCTAAGAAACAAATCAGAAAGACTCAGCAATAGCCAAATTAAATAAGAAGTAACTGTGAATAACAACTCGACTGACTTTATCTCTTGGGTAATGTTTGATATAGGTTAGCAATGGCTTTGCTATCAACACTGCCCCTAAATAATTTACGGTAAGAAACGTTAATCTACACAGAATTCTAACTTTATTCATTCTGTTTATTTAGCTTCAATAGTCCAACTTTTGTAAAATTACCCACAAATTCTGATAAGAATTTAGGATTATAAAACAATTTTAGGTAAAATACAACATTTTGTCATCATAAATCACTGTAATACATCCTTATCAATTTGAGGTGATCATATCTATTTAAATAAACACAATTTTTCCTATCTTCCTTAACCCACCATAAAATAGACCCCTTTCTAATTTCAGTCAACCAGAATAATGCAAAAAAAAATTTATCTGTAAAAAGCCAAACCCTTTTTAACAATAAAAATGTATATTTCTTCAACAGTTCACTGCTGCTAAATGGCTTTAAAACCTTTATGATGGAAGTAGTAAATTTTCTAATTCTAGAAAAACTTTACATTGCTCCAATTGTATTCCTTATTGTCTTTTGTCTTATGGACATATTTAATCACTGGTTTCCATATTTTCTTGATCAATTAATGTGAAGAAAATACTTGATTATCAGAGGGCAAGCTAGGGAGCCAGAAGGAATATTTAAAAAGGATTTTTACTTCATGTATTATGTATTTCTGTAAAATTTAAGATTTTTAGTTTGAGAAGTATTATGTTCATAATCCCAAAATACTATAATGCCCGATTATGTTTCATGCAGAAACTGCAGTTAACAAAAGAATCCTTTTCTTTGGATTTTGTAAGAAGGGGAGAAACATATATATTTAGCTAGGTGTTTCCAGAAAGCCCAATTGTCTTACTGAAAGTATAAAAAACATTCTATTAAAAAATAATACACTTGCTTCTTTCAAAAACTGATAGTGGTTTGCTACATCATTAAGTATGCTTACCAGACTTCGAGAACTTTAACCTGAATCTACATGCAGATAGCAATATTATAGTTAAGGTAAAACGTTAGGAAGGAAATCTAGACAAATATTACCTTGTGATAGGGTTACCTAAGTAAACTATATAAGAAATATTTAAACACAATCTTTATTTAACATAGTACCTGAAAAAATAAAAATATTTTCTTAGTTATATTTTCTCATAGGGATTAGTTATTTCCTTCCTTCAAAAGAAGAATGAAATAAGCTATCCTTAAAGCAAAAAGCACTTTGTCATTTTTATCCAGCAGTTTAATAATCTTTAAACATCATGCAAAGCCATATGAAAATGCAGCTGACACCACTTCTCTCAACCCCTTGTTCAAAAGAATAGGATACAATGTATCTCAAATAAAAACTTTAAATTATATGCACGTGATATCATCTTAGCAATTTCCTTCAGTTAGTATAAACAACTCCAAAATGCCCAAGAAGGGTTACTGGTTCAGAATTGATATCAGCAATATAAAACCAGGAGAGAACAGAAATGTATT